TACTGGGCCTTTGAGGCCGTTTAGGGCTTTCAAGGTCAGCACCGACACTTTGAATTGTGCTCGGAAACGTCCAGGGAGCCAGTGTAGGTCTTTCAGGACCGGTGTTATATGGTCTTGGTGGCCGCTCCCAGTCACCAGTCTAGCTGCTGCATTCTGGAAGATAGCAATGGCTTCCTCTGCACATGCTCTGAGACTCTTTCCTCCTCTGTGCAGTTAAGCCCTTCAACATCCCCGCTGTGGCATTCACATTTGCCTCTGATTGGCAGGTGTCGGGTGGGACAAGGGGCCTCTGGTTGCCTCACCTCCGAAAGGATAGCGATGAGCTGGGAAGGTTCAGGAAAGGGCAACCCAAATTATCTGGGGGTGAGGGGAACAAGTCCCCTATGAGGACACATGCGGGACTTTTCAGTTGAGAGAAAAAGCGAGGAAGAGGCGACAGGATAGACGTTTATAAAACGATACCTCGCCTGGAGAAAGTGGAGAGAGAGAAATTTCTCTTAACACTCCGGCATCCCATGTGGCTGAATGGGGAAGAGTCAGGAGAACAAGGAGAAAGTGCTTCACACGGCACATAGACTTTGGAACTCTCTTCCACAGGAGGCAGTGATGGTCGCCAAGTTGGGTGGCTCTGAAAGACGACCGGGCAAACACAGCAGAGGGGAGGCCACTAGCCACAATGGCTCCTCTCTACCTCTGCAGTTGGAGGCAGGGATGCTTTCGAAGCCACAGGAGGGGAGAGTTGCTCTTGCGCTTGCATCCTCCTTGCTGGTCTCCCATAATGGCCATCTGGATGGCCCCTGTGGGAACAGGATGCTGAACTAGAGGGGACATGGGCCTGATCCAGCAGGAGGGTTTTCATCTGTTTTGTCTCCCTTGTGAGCCTCCCCAAGGCATGGGACGGGGCGCTGTCCCAGGCTGACCTTTGGCCTGACCCAGCACAGAGGTTCTTCTGTACCCTCAAATGTGGTCAGCAGAGCCTGGGCGGAGGCCATTGACCAAATTAAGTGCCTGTTGTCGGCTAACCCAGCAACCTGCCGAGAGAGAGAAGCCGCAAAGGGATCTGTTTGATCTGCAAGTTGAGGCATATCCTTGGCCGGGGTGGAGGAGCGGCCTCCCCCCTTCCCACATACAGACATTCTTTGTCTCGGCCACCATGGAAACCCAGGCAGGCATTTTGCTTCAGGTGCTCAGTGGCAAGGCAAAGGCACTGCTGGAAGGAAGAAGGCTCCAGCCTTGTCCATGGGGGGAAAGAACCAGAGGTCTCATGGACCGCTGTAGCCCAAAGTGACGCAGTGCATACAGGAGACCACCAGAACCTTAGAAGATCCCGCTGGAGCAGGCCCTGTTCTCCCAGGTGCCCCCAAAGCAGGATTTGACCACAAGAGCCCTCTCCCCTCCAACAATCAGCATTCAGAAGCATCGCTGCCTCTGACGAGCCGTTGTGGCTAATACCCATCCATACTCCTCCTCTATGAATTTGTCTAACTCTCTTTTAATGCCATCCAGGTTCCTCCCTCCTGCAGCGGTGAGTTCCACCGTTTAACTGTGCTGCGTGAGGAAGGACTTCCTTTTAACTGCCCTGACTTTTCCAACCTTCAGCTGCAGTGGACGGGCAGGAGGCGTAGAGAGGGAGAAGCCGTTCTGCTACTGCCCAACTTCCGTGTTGCCCCACCGGGCCTCAGGGCCACCCCAGGAAAGGCCCCAAGCCACAGTGTCCTGTCCAGGCCTGTTTTTGGGGAGGCCCACATTCATTCCCTGAGCAGTGGGGCGGAGGCTGCTACTCTTTGGAGCTGCAAGACCCAGACACTAGTCAAAACTCATGAGGCCTATGCTCAATTTGCATAGCTTTCCCCGCTGCCATCGGACCGTTTTGTGACGTGCTTCTCTTCCCCTTCTTGGGCTTGAGAGAGAGAGATGTGCTTGGGACTGCCCTGACAGGAGAGAGGGAGGCTGAACTGGGTAAACTTGCCCAAGCTGCGCATGGAGCCTGGTGCTTTGACGGCCGTGTGTCGACACGGATCCCAGATCCCCCTGTGCGACCGACGTGTGGAGCGAGCGGAAGAAGGTCAAGGGACTTTGAGCAAGCAGACCCCTCCAGCACGGCCAGCTGATAAGAGGTACAAAGCTCAGAACAGCTCCTGGAGGGCAGGGCGAGCGGCGGCTTCCAGTCACAATGGCTGCGTTGTGTCTCCACTGCCACAGGCAGTGTACCTCTGGATTAAGGTTGCTGGGAATCGCAGGTGGGAAGAGTTGCTGTCGTCGTGCTCAGGTCCTGTTTAGTGGTTTTACATGTGGGCACCTGGTTGGCTCCTGTGAGAACAAGATCCTGGGCTAAGTGTCCACACCCCCCCTAGGCCTGATCCAGCAGCTTGGGCTTTTATTGCACTATTTAGGCCTTTCTTGAACAATTGAGACTGCTCCACACATCTTTCGGCCTCTCCAAGCTGCCATGTTGGGCTGCTGACCACAAAAGGCTGCCACATTGGTCAGTGTGCGCCAGGGCTCAGTAGCGGAGCACCTGTCCTCAGGTTCTCCAGTTAAAAGGCTCTTAGCGGCAAAAGACACACACACCCCTTCTCTGCCTGAGACCCTGGAAAGCAGCTGCCAGTCAGAGAGAGCAGAACTAGGCTAGATGGACAAAGGCTTTGAGTTGGAATATGAAACGTCCATTGTTGCATTGACTTTGCCAGCAGGATGTTCTAAACAGCGCAGTTGGTACAGCATCTTAATCTCAGGGTTGTGCGTTCAAGCCCCACATTGGGCAAAAGATTCCTGCCTTGCAGGGGGTTGGACTAGATGACCCTCGTGGTCCCTTCCAGCTATGATTCTGTGATCCGCAAGGCCTCGTTTTTTGCTTTCGAAACTGGTGTCTGAGCTGCAGAAAAAGTGAGGGGACATCCTGCCTCGCCGCCACTGATGCCTTCGGGCTTGTTTGGGCCCAATGAAAACAGACGTTCCAAATAATAATTTATCCTTAATGAGCGTGTGCAGTGTAGGGTAGGGGTGTTGGACCTGGACCTGGACAAGACCACAGTTCATATCCCCTTTCGTGGGCTAGGAAGGGGCCAGTCACTGCCTCCCAGCCTGACCTACACCACAGGGGATTAAACGAGGAAGGATAAGAACCACATGAACCACCTTGAGCTCTTTGTAGAAAAAGGTGGAATATAAACCCAATAAATAAAACAGAAATAACACACCTGGACGGTGGTGGCATCAGAAAATAATTTTGCTTTTGGGGGAATTTTGGGCAAGGGGCAGTGACTTGGCCCCCGTGGCATCTGTCCTCTGCTGGGTGTTTTGATAGACTTCCAAGTAAGCCCAGGGCCACAGACTCATCCGAATTCCTAGTTTCTAATCTATACATGTTGTGAAGATGGTTCCTTCTAAGTAGATCACATGGTTCAGCAACGGAGTGTGTATGTGATGCTATATGCATCTGGGGGCTCCAACTTCTTCCTGCTATGGGGGTGGGGAGAGGAATCTCCTGCTAGCTAATTAAAGAAAGTAGGTGAGAGTTGGAGAAGCAGGAGAGGAAGGCAGCAGAAATCTGGTGCATCAAAGGGAAACTGCAGCAGATTTGCATCTTCTCTTCCCTGGGGGTTTGTGTTTTTGTGTGTAGATGTAGTTTTGTGTCACAAACAGGGCAGGGGGCCCACACTGCACAACCCCCCCCCCCACATTCCCCTGCACCAGCTGAAATCAAGAGCAGCTGTGTACTGTTTCCATGGCCCTTAACTTGGTGGTCTGCTGTGGTCTGGGGGTGGGGGCTTGGAGAGGAGTTAGACACCCATCCTGCAGCTGTGCAGTCCTCCCACGGCAACCACTGATGAGGAACACAAACACATGTGCTTGAGCCACCAAGAGACACACAGAGAGAGAAACTGGGGGCGGCAAGGGAAGCTCTTTACTCAAGCTCAGTGAGAAGCAGCTGTCTTCTCCGCAGGCCGTGGAATCGTTGGAAGGGACCCTGGGGGCATCTAGTCCAACTCCCTACAATGCAGTGATCTTTTGTCCAACGTGGGGTTCGAACCCCCAGCCCTGAGATTCAGAGTCTGCTTCTCTACAGATGGGAGTGTAGGGAAGTAGGAGGACGTGAAGGGGGTCCCCAGTTTGTTTTTAGACATCAAGTCACCTCCTGATGCAAGCCAGGGTGGAACCATGTGGTATCAGGGTGGAACCATGTGGTATTTGCAGCCCCAGGACTGTGCCCTTAGGAGGGTCTGCCTGACCAATGCCGTTGGAGGCAGGGACATACCTAGGCATACCTTGCCTCTCTGGGTGGTGGATTAGCAACTGGTAGTATGTGGGCCATTACTGGCCAGCGGAGAGGGACGCTTCTCTGATTTGGAGGGCTGGTTTTTCTTCTGTTTCTGGCGGATCCTCCCCATTTGCCCCAAGAGCTCTGCAGCTGGATCGGGCCCACGGCCCACCTAGTCCTGACTCCTGCTCCCACGGTGACCCCCCAGAGGGACCAGAGTGAGCAGCAGCAACTCTCTGCACTTGAGATTCCCCGCGACTGCTACTCAAGAGTCATTTGCTTCTCCTTGCCTTCCGGGTATGCAGCCTGCAGCTGTAGAAAAAGACCCCAGCGCTCCAAACCTGGGGAACAGAATGCTCTCTCTCTCAAAAGGGGGGGGGAGCAAAGTTGGCAGCCCTCCCAAGGCAAAAGAAAGACAGAGAAAGCGAGGGGAGGCTCAGCCTGCAATAGAAGAAAAAGAACCAGAGAAGCGGGGAAGCGTCCCTCGACCGCAGAGGAGCGGAGGAAAGGAGCGAAGTTGGCAACCCTCCCGAGGCGGGGAGGGGAGGCGGAGAGAGCGCGGGGAGGGGAAGGAGGCGGAGAGGCGTGGCGTTGCCTTGCCTAGGCGAGCCTAAGTCGGCGCTGCACACAATAGGGAGAGGGGTCGCCCGGCAGGACCTGCGAGGCCGGCGGGCGCAGGAGGCGACAGGGGCGGCGCGGGGCCTGCGGAGGCGCCTCTCCCCGCCAGGCCGGCGGGACCATGCCGGGCTTCGACTACAAGTTCCTGGAGAAGCCCAAGCGGCGGCTGCTGTGCCCGCTGTGCGCCAAGGCCATGCGCGAGCCCGTCCGCGTCTCCACCTGCGGCCACCGCTTCTGCGACACCTGCCTGCAGGAATTCCTCAGGTCAGTCCCCGCGGAAGGAGGAGCCGGGCCGGCCAGGGGCCGCGATCCGGGCGCAGGGAGACGGAGGCGCACGGCCCCTGCGCGCCTCTCCAAAGCGCGCTGGCTTGGAGAGCCCCGCTCGCGCGCCCTGGGCGCACCGCCCCGCCGCCGCCGCCTCCTTTGTTCCGCGCCCGCTTCATTCCTCGGGAGAACTGGAGGGGCCCCCACCCGCCTCCCTCGTTGGGGGCTCCCCCCGTTTCCCAACACTTGGCTCGGCAGCGGCAATCGGGATAGGCCGCTTCTCTGAGCGTGTGCAGAGTGCGGCGGCGCGGAGTCTTGCTGGGCTGCCTCCCTCTCCCACCTCCCTCTTTTCTATTGTTCTGCCTGCTATTGTCTCACCTTGAAGGGTCCCTCCTGTCCTCCCCACCCCACCCCGGTTGTCAGGGGCCTCGGAAAAAGAGGGGTGCCTTCTTCGCGGATGGTCGGCGATGAGCTGAAATAAAGCCTCTGTCTGCAGCGGCAGTCTACCGCGAACTGTCTGCTGTTGGGAGCCAACGCTGGGGCCTGTTGGTGGATTTATTGCTGACCTCTGTTGGAAGCGGGATGCTGGGCTAGGTTGCGGGGTGGGTTTTTTTTGCGGAGGGGTCTGTTTGATCCAATAAGTCTCTTCTGCCTGTTGAAGCCAGCAAGGATTGACGTCTCCTTTCGTCCGAGGGTGACAAGCCAAAGAAAGCATTGCTTTGTGTGTTCTGGGCCTTGGGAAACAGGTTTGGGGGCTGCTCTGAGCCCCCCGGGCGTGGCTGAGGTTTGGGGTTATCTGTCCCTTAACTCCGTGATTTGAACCTCTGAATCAGAGTCCGGCTGGGTTGGACGCAGCACCCACTCCGCAGAGCCGGAGAGCCACAGTTGGGTCCTCAGTGCAGAACCCCACCCCCCTTTTGCAGTAGGCTAGCTGGATCTGTCTGCGTATAATTAAGGCGGCTTCCGTCCTCCCTTCCTGTTTAAATTCAGGACCATGAGGACTAGTGTCTTGCATTCTTTTTTAGGGAAAGGGCCATAACTCAGTGATGAAGCACTTTCTGCTTTGCAGGCAGAAGGACCCAGTTTCAGTCCCCACTGGCATCTCCAGGTCGGGCTGGGAAACCCTCCCTGCCTGAAATCCAGGAGAGCCATTGCTGCCAGCCAGTGCAGACAATACTGAGCTAGATGGATCAGGTGTCTGGTTTGGGGAAGGGCCGTAGCTCAGTGACGGAGCCCTTGCTTTGCATGCAGAAGGTCCGAGGCACAATCCCTAAGTAGGGCTGGGGAGGAAACTTTGCAGAGCCACTGCTGCCAGTCAGTGTCGGCAGACATGGCTGAGCTAGCTGGAATAGCAGTCTGACACAACAGCTTCCCATGTTCCTGTTTAAATAAGCCCTTTTATTTGGAACGCTGAGGACTGGCACCTTTATTTCTCAGGAAACTCTGGAGAGCTGTTGCTCCCATTGACCCCCAACATTAGCTACATGGGGTAGCAGGAGCCTGGTGATGTCCAAAGGGCCACATGCTGTTCCCCCGTCCTCTGGGAAGATGAGAATGCTCTTGGCTGGCAAATATTTATTGATATTTAATCTCAGAAAAAATGCAGGGCAAAGCCCTCCCGAGGCAGCTTCTGAAGTCAACTCAGACAATATAAAAGAATGTTTCAGATCTATTCCAGATAACCCAGTTGCAAAGCTATTTCTGTAAGGAAGACAACAAAGAAATAATAATAATAATAATAGATACGAGAGCCCCCTTCAGATATCTGAAGGGAGCTGTTCAAGAGTGGAACGGATTTAATAGCCACCTGTCAGGGCTCCTTTGGCTGTCATTTCCTGTATTGCAAGAGGGGGTTGGCCTAGATGACCTTTGGGGGTCCCTTCCAACTCTACAAATATAAATAATAATAATAATAATAATAATAATAATAATAATAATCCTGGCCTGCTAACCAGCTAGCTCCCTCCTTCCCTCTAATCCCCCTCCCTGCCACCCCGTAAAGACCACCTAATCCCATTTAGCTCTTGCCCACCCCTGATTTCCCATCGCAATTACAAACATCTGCCTTTCCCCTTCCCTTCCAGTCCAAGGTTCAAGCCTCTCCCGCTGCTCAGGTGCCCTCTGGTCAGGCTGCTCCCTTGACTCTGCAAAGGCGTGACTCTGTATATGTTTGTGTTTCCTGGGTAAAGGCAGTAAGTTTTCCCGGATCTCCCTGGGCGTTGAATAGTTAAGTGTTGGGGATCTGGGAGGGGCTGTAGCGACTGATCTCCTCTGCCCACCCCAAAAAAGCTGGGAATTCTCTCTTTCTGCCAACCTCTCTTGTAATAAGATCTCTCTAACTAACAAGCAGGGACTGCTTGTCTGCTTAAGTGAATTTTTCTGGCCTTTGTAGAAAAGCTGCTATGGGGGGGGGGGTAGAGAGGCAGGGGGGGGGGCTTGCATGACTGGCAAGGGGGGGCGGGCGGGAGAGGTGCTTAGCATATTGGCACCAAGGTCGCTTTGCAGTTAGCCTCCTTGCAGCTTCCCAACAACCTTGCCAGGTTGGCCTTGGCTGTTTGCATTTTCGAGGCAAGGAAGGAAAGAAGAGAGGCAGTATATGAGCCTCATCCAGCGCTCCTCCCACCCCCCCCACCCAACAAAAAACTTCCTGATCTTCTCAGAATCTGAGCTTTGGTGGAGAAGGGGGGAAGTTGATAAGCCGCCTGCATTCCTGTAATGTTTAACTTTCTTAGATGTCTGGCATTAACCAGGGATTTGAGGGGAGAAGGACTTACAGCTGTTGTGGCTGCAGGTGGGGTAAGAATCAAGCATTGCACCTGGGATTGCTAGTTCAGGGGGCCCTGCAGGCTACTGGGCGGGGGCCCTTCCTCCCCACCCGCTTCACCTGGCTGCCAGGTAGCAGAACAATAGCCAGAGTTTTTGGGTCTGAGCTGAGATGGAAGCAGCTGGAGATACAAAGACCTGCTTGCTCTGTGCTGGGCCCAAAGCTGCGACTAAGCGAGATATTTCGGGGTGTAAATGCTGCGAGCCCCTTTAAATCCTATGCTTCAGTTGTACGGGGGTCAGAATGTCCGGTTAGGACTTGGAGGAGACCAGCGTTTGAATCCTCACTCAGCTACGAAGCTCACTGGGTGTGTGACTTTGGAAGCCGGTCACCCACTCTCAGCCCAGCATACCTCGCAAGGTGGTTGTTGTGAGGATAAAATGGGGAGCAGGAGAACTATGTACACCGGCTTGAGCTCCTTGGGGTGGTGGGGGATAAAAATGCAATAAAACCATATATCTAGAAGACTTCCCTCCCCTTAGGATACATTTGCACCCAGCAGCCAACGAAGGCAAGCCCAGAAGTGTGCCGTGAGCACAAGACCACTCGTCCTGCCCCCAGGAACTGGTATTTGGGGGTGCAGTCAAACAGAGACACCCCCCTCCACTTTGGGGACGCAGACATGCACAAAGCTTCTTTATTGCTCCAACTTTGCTTGGCACGTAGGCAAGCTTTCGGAGTTTCACAGAACTGTTAGTCAGCCGGGGACCCTTCCAGGTGTTCCGGAGGAATGAGTGTGTGCGTCTGATCCATGGGCCTACTTATTCACGGAGCGGAAAAGACGCCCGCGAAGCAGATTGACAGCGGCTTTTCCCAGTTCAAGAGCCCCGTCCTTGCGTAACCGTTTCCAGAGCGTTGCTACGAAAACAAAACCCGAGTTCTTGCGCGCACCTTGAAGGCCGGCGAGCCTTTTAAACCCACGGAAAGCCTTTGCTAGAATAAATGTGTTAGTCTCCCGGGTGGCACAGGGGTTTGTGGCACTCTGCGTGTGTGTTTGGGTCATGGCAGTTTCGTGCGATTTCACAGCTGTCTTTGCAAGCCTCCTCTTACCTTGGGGGACTCAGGTTTGGCACTCCTTTGGTGAGTTCTGCATGTTTCCCCAAAGTGTTGAGGCTGAATTGATGCAATACATTTGTTCATTTGTTTTATTTACCGCATTTATATCCCGGGTTTTTCTCCAAGGAGCTCAAGGTGGCATCCATGGCTCCCCCCCCCAATTTAATCCCCACAATAACATCCCTGCAAGGGAGGTTAGGCTGAGAGAGGCAGTGATTGGCCCCAGTGGCGTAGCGTGGGGGGTGCAGGGGGGGCCGGCCGCACCGGGCGCAACATCTAGGGTTAGGGCAAATCCACGGGTTAGGGGGCGCAAATCCACGGGTTAGGGGGCGCAAATCCACGGGTTAGGGGGCGCAAATTACTTGCCTTGCCCCGGGTGCTGACAACCCACGCTACGCCACTGATTGGCCCCCAGTGTCAAACCCAGTGAACTTTGTGGCGATTTGAACCCTGGTGTCCCAGGTCCTACTCCTCATCTAGTCCCTACAACAAGCCAGGGAGGGAGGTCAGGCTGAGAGTCAGTGACCGGCCCCCAAGGTCACCACTTGAGAGCTTCATGGCAGGGGGGGGGGAATTTGGTCTCTCCCAGGTTTTCACCCAATGCTCTGACCACTGCACACTAGCTTTCCGTGAACCGGTGCGTGTGATTTCCTAGGGACACTTCTTGTCTCTCTCTCTTAGAACATCCTTCTAACTAAATTTTTCTGCTCCTTTGCAGACACCCTGAACCTTTCCTTTTTGGCTGCTGTTTTCCTGGGGTTCTGGGTTCAAGCCTTGCGGAGTGAGGGGATTTGACTAGGCATGTCTTTGCTTGCCTGGGCCTTGATGCACAACTGTGTGTGAGAGAGAGATAATGAGGGAGACATAAAAGGGTTTTGTGTTTTCAAGAATGCAGAAGGCATTTTTTCTCCCCTGACTTCCTTCATTCCACTGTGGCCTCCCCAGAGAGAGAGCAGATCCATAGGGGGCTGATTGGAGGGGGAGAGGCGCACAGGTGTGGGGAGGGGCAGAGTCAAGAGCCCAAAGCCAAGGAGCTGGATTCCACCCATAGGCTAGGAGATCCTGTGCCTGGGACACCAAAGGCTCATCCATTCCAACCCCCTGAATTGCAGTTGAAATC